GGGGGGGGGGGGGGGGGGGGTAGTCAAAGAGCCTGCCATTGAGTTCATGTCAGAAACAGTCCCTGTTCCCCTTATTAGGGTACCCACTTGGCTACTGAGCTGCCAGGGGCTTTAGGTTGCATCCATACATGGTCCTTGTTTGGAGAAACAGTCTCATAAAAGACCCCTGTGCCCAGATATATTTGGTCCTTGTGGAACTCCTGTCTTCTCCATGTTGTATTAACTCCGCCCTCCCCCCCTTTTGAATCCCTGCATTCTGCCAAAGGTTTGGTTATGAGTAGCAGTGTATCAAAGCAGATATTAAGACTCATAACCAAACCTTTTGTTTTGTTTTGTTTTGTTTTGTTTTGTTTTCTAAGTAGCATTTTGAAATTGGCTCACTAACTATTGAGTTTAAATAAAGCTTTTTCATATGTCCTTAGTTTTGATTAACCTACTCATTACCTGCTTCTTTCTTCTATTTCCCAGCCCTCTTCCCTACTTACTCCTTTAATCCCTAGTATTCAGCCTTCTTCTTCCATTGTATATGTGTTCTACTATTCTTCCATTTATCTTTGTTGTTGTGCTATGGGATAGTAGGTTTGCATGCAGCTTTTCATCTCTCTTTCCTTTGGGTTAGCCTTCTCCCATGTCCCTCCCTGCCTCTCCACTGCAGTATTCATTTCACTACTTTGATTTCAAGTATGATGTACTGTTTCTTCTTCCTTTACATGTCCCTGCAGGGCTCCTTTCGAGTTTCTGGCTTCTGCGTCTGCTGCATGTTAAAACACAGAATTGAAGCTAGGATCTGTATCAGAGTAAACATACTTACCTTTCTAGTCATGAGTTGTATCACTGATAAGTTGCCTTTGCTTGGGGTTTAACTGTGTAATTAAAATCTGGCTGATTTATCCTGTTTTATATTTATAGATCCATCTGTGTTACATATAGACCTGCTCTTTGTCATCGCTGTATACAGTATTATATTATAAATATATTCCTATGTTTGTCCACTAATGGGGTTTGTGGTGTGGGGCACTGAGAATGGTAACTATTATAGAAATCATTTCTCAAACCTTTCCTTTGGCCATTAGCATTTGTGCTCATTTCTGTTACGTGTGTACCTCAGAGTAGAATTGCTGAATCAGAGAGTTGCCAGTCTTTTTCCCAGTGGAGTTGTGAGAGTTTTCAGTCCAGTCACCAGTACAAGATAGTCAGAGCGTCTCTTTGTCACCCCAATTCTGCACATTTTCAGTCCATTAATTGCAGCCTCCCTACCATAGTCTCCTTGTAGTGCTTATTTAAATTGCCCCAGTAATGAATGAAATTAAACTTTAGTTTGTGGTTATTGGCCATTTAAGTCAGGCATAGCTAATAAAACGAATTACCTGTGTAAGCCTTTTACATCTTTTTTGAGCTTTTATATTTTTGCTTTGTAATTTAATATTTTAAGAAGACTGTCTAATTATATAGTCAAATTTTAAAGTATTCCATTTCAAAGATGTAGTAGGTATGTGTTTACTTTCATCTATCATTCTCAGAGTTTTCAGGCTAGAAATAATTAAAAGAAATGAGGTAGTTGGGGTTGAAAATGAAGGCAGAACCTGTGCTTTTGATGTTCTGTTCAGGAAGTTGTCTCCTGTGCCAATGAGTTCAAGGCTCCTCCACACTTTTTCTTCTAACAGATTTGTGTGTCTGGTTTTATGTTGAGGTCTTTGATTCATTTGGACTTTAGATTTGTGCAGGGTGATAAATATGGATCTATTTGCATTTTTCTACATAATAGAAATCCAGTTAGACTAGCACCATTTGTTAAAGATGCTGTCTTTTTTTCCATTGTATGGTTTTGATATTCTTTGTCAAAAATCAACTATCCATAGTTGTGTGGGCTTTTTTCTGGGTCTTCTCTCTGATTCCATTGATCCACTATTCTGTTTCTCTGCCAGTACCATGCAGTTTTTATTACTATTACTTTGTAGTACAGCTTGAGGTCAGGGATGGAGATACCTCCAAACAATCTATTGTTGTACAGGATTGGATTGTTTTAGTTATTCTGGGTTTTTTCTTTTCCATATGAAGTTGAGAATTGTTCTTTCAAGGTATGTAGAGGAGGACTTTGCAGCCAGCCCTGAAGATACCTGATAAAACAGGGTCAAATGAAAGGGGAGAAGGTCTTCTCCTATCAGTGGACTTGGAAAGGGGCAGGGAGGAGACCAGGGAGGGAGTGTGGAGTTGAGGAGGGAATGAGGGAGCGGGAAAAAAAAAAGAATTGTGTTGGTATTTTGATGGGAATTGCATTGAATCTGTAGATTGCTTTTGGCAGGATGGCCATTTTCACTATGTAAATCCTACTCATCCATGAGCATGGAAGATCTTTCCATTTTCTGATATCTTCTTCAATTTCTTTCTTAAAGAGACTTGAAGTTTTTTCAAACAGGTCTTTCACTTGATTGGTTAGAGTCACACCAAGGTACTTTATGTTATTATTGGCTATTGTGAAGGGCATTATTAAGATCAACAATCAATAAATGGGACCTCATGAAACTGAAAAGTTTCTGTAAAGCAAAGGACTCTGTCGTCAGAAAAATGACAACCTACAGACTTGGAAAGGATCTTCACCAACCCTATATCTGACAGAGGGCTAATATCCAGAATATATAAAAAACTCAAAAAGTGAAATACTAACAAATCAAGTAATCCAATTGAAAAATGGGGTAAAGAGCTAAATAGAGGAATATTGAATGGCAGAGAAACACATAAAGAAATGTTCAACGTCCTTAGTCATCAGGGAAATGCAAATCAAAACAACCCTGAGATTTCACCCTATACCCATCAAAATGACTGAGATCAAAAACACATGCTGGAGAGGATGTGGAGAAAGGGGAACCCTACTCCACTACTGGTGGGAATGTAAACTTGTACAACCACTTTGGAAATCAATCTAACACCTCCTCAGACAATTGTGAATAATGCTACCTCAAGATCCAGCTATACCACTCCTAGGCATATATCCAACAAGGACATTTGCTCAACCTTGTTTGTAGCAGCTTTATTTGTAATAGCCAGAATCTGGAAACAAAACAGATGTCCCTCAGTTGAGGAATGGATACAGAAATTGTGGTACATTTACACAATGGAATACTACTCAGCAATTAAAAACAAAGAAGTCATGAAATTTGCAGGCAAATGGTGGGAACTAGAAAAGATCATCCTGAGTGAGGTATCCCAGAAGCAGAAAGACACACAGGGTATATACTCACTTATAAGTGGATATTAGACATATAATATAGGATAAACACACTAATATCTGTACACCTAAAGAAGCTAAGCAAGGAGGACCCTGGGTGAGATTATCAATCCTCATGCAGAAAGGCAAAGGGAATGGACATCAGAAGAGGGAGAAAACAGGGAACAGGACAAGAGCCCACCACAGAGGGCTGTTGAAAGACTATCCAGCAAGGTATCAAAGAAGATGCTAAGACTCATAGCCAAACTTTAGGCAAAGTGCAGAGAATCTTATGAAAGAAGAGGGAGATAGGAAGATCTAGAGAGGACAGGAGCTCCACAAGAAGAGCAACATATCAGAAAATTCTAGGCCCAGGGGTCTTTTCTGAGAATGATACTTCAGCCAAGAACCATGCATGGAGATAACCTAGAACCCCTAGAATCCCTGCACAGATGTAGCCCATGTGGGTGCCCTTTTAATGGGAACAGAAACTATCTCTGACATGAACTCAGTGGCTGGCTCTTTGATCACCCTCGCTCTGAGGGGGGACCAGCCTTACCAGGCCACAGAGGAAGACAATGCAGCCACTCCTGATGAGACCTGATAGGCTAGGATGGTCAGATGGAAGGGGAGGAGGACCTCCCTATCAGTGGACTTGGGGAGGGGCATGGGAGATGACAAAGAGAGAGAGTGGGTTTGGAAGGGAATGAGGGAGGGGGCTACAACTAGAAAACAAAGTGAATAAACTGCAATTTATAAAAAAAAGAAAGAAAGAGAGAAAGAAAGAAAGAAGAAAGAAAAGAAAGAAAAAGAGAAAGAAGAAGGAAAAGGAAGAAAAAAGAAAATGATGGCAGAAGAGGACGATCTTGTGAAGCTGCAGGAAGTTAGAAAGTAGCCCATGTCCTAGGATGTTCTGCTATAATTTGACTGAGAGAGCTAAGATATTTAAAGTGAATTAATAGCCAGCTGGGAGTTTTATTGTGCTTAAATATTCACTAATGTGAGCTTTTACAGGGAAATAAACATATACTTTCTTAGGAACAATATAGGGAAGAGAAAGTTATTTTCAGTGTTGAAAACCCCCTAGAGCTAATAGTGTAGTGAAAGAAAACGATCGCTAGCCTGAGTAATTTAGAAAACTAGTTATGGAGATCACGTCAGACAGATCAGACTGTAAGAGGCCCACAGTTCAGTTCACCTGGCTACTTAGACACTGTGTTATCCAGGAAACATGTTTCTAGCATGTCTTAGCAAAATTGCTGAATCCATAAATTATATTTCGATTAGATTTCTTTAAGTAATTATGTCAATTACAAATTCATAGCATTAAACATTTATTATTTACAATTATTAGCATAAAATATATTTATAATTAGCCTTTATAATAGCATTTTATTATAATAGTTGGATTGAAACTAAATTACCTCCTCTATGCCAATATGTGTAAAGTTTAACTGAGTAAATATTGTTCAACAAAATATTTTTATAATAGTCCACTTTCTTTTCCTGTGCTTCTGGGGATCAAACCCAGGTCGTCATGCATACTAGGCAAGTGCTTCGCCAGTGAACCACATACCACCCCAGTCGTCCAATTTCTAATAAAGAATTTTTTTAAATGCTTTTTCCATGTGAAACCGACATGAGGGAGGGGAAGAAGTTAAATCAAGTGCTGTTATTTGTGTGCATGTGACCATCACTCTGTTGTTTCCAAAAGTTTTCAGTTCGGTGTGTACGTAGAGAATTCTGTCATGTAAGTTTCTGTTTCCTTTCAGCTCAGCAAGAAGATGATGAATTTGTGTGTCAGATAATTTATGTCTTCTACCAGATGGTTTTCCATCAGGCCACAAGAGATGTCATAATCAAGGAAACACGTATCCTTTCAGTGTTCGAAATACCATAACCTCAATTTACAATATAAAATCATTCGTGTTGGGTGTTTTCTTTCAAATCTTGAAATGCTGGAGGAAACAGCAGACACTGAACTGAAAGTAGATGGCAAGCTTTCCTTTGGGAATTACCTGAAATTCGTGTGGGATTAAAAGAAACCTGAAATCTGCAGAACCTTTATGAATGCCCAGCATGCCACCAGTGTGAAACCTCGGTTCACCTAAGAGACCATGGGCAAACGTGTGCACACTAAGGCTAACCTAGGAAATGACGGTAGGCTGTCGGTGTGAGGTGCCATGTGTGAGGTGCGCAGCGCACGCAGCACTTCTGCTATCTCCAACCCCCTAAGCACGATTCCTAGCGCAGTTGCCACTTAACATCTCTGTATCTTGCATCCAAGGTGTGTTTTGTCTTCAGCAGTGAGGTCTTATCATCTGGTTGTTGTGTGCAACTAACAGTAATAACAAAAGTATGCATTGTTTTGGAGGCCTCAGTGGCCTCTCTCTGACCAATAATAAATCAGGCAGTGTCCCATACCCGGCCTTGGGGATTTTGTTTAGTAACTCAGTGCCTCTAGAAGCAATATTATGTAGATGTCCAGAGTATCACCCTTCAGATCAGTGTGAGTGTGCGTGTATTACAAAATAACAGATTTCCATACAACTTAACATTTTAATTATTGCCTTTTAAAAACCAATACTTATACAACCTCGGAACCTGCTACAGAGGGCCTCTGAAAGCCAGAAGAAAACAGGAAACAACCTTGAAACCTGCCACAGAGGGCCTATGAAAGCTTCTGCAGTATAGACTGTCAAAGCAGATGCTGGGCCTGATGGCCAACTGATGGGCAGAGTGAATGGAATTTTATGTAAGAAGTGGGAAATAGTAAGAGCTGGAGGGGACGGGAACTCCACAAGGAGAGCAACAGAACAAGATAATTTGAACACAGGGAACTTCCCAGAAAATCATACTCCAACCAAGGACTATTTGTGGAGATGACCTGGAACCCCTGCACAGGTGTAGCCCATGGCAGTTCAGTGTCCAAGTGGGTTACATAGTAATGGGAAGAGGGACTGCCTCTGACATAATCTGATTGGCCTGCTCGTTGATCACTTCCCCCTGAGGGGGGAGCAGCCTTACCAGGCCACAGTAGAGGACAATGCAGCCACTTTTGATGAGAACTGATAGACTAAGATCAGAAAGAAGAGGAGAACCTCCCCTATCAGTGGACTTGGGGAGTGGCATGCATGCAGAAAGGGGAGGGAGGGTGGGATTGGGAGGGGAGGAGGGAGGGGCTTATGGGGAGATACAAAATGAATAAAGTGTAATTAATAAAAAAAAAAACAACCAATACTTACATAAAATTTATATATTGTTCAGTTTTCTTGGCTTCTGTCTTTGCTTGAAATTCTTTTTGTTATTCTTTTGAAATGATATCCACTCATAATGAGGTATTATTATGTAGTAATGTTATATGTAAACAGAAAAGGTTGGAAAATTTAAACACAGTAAGGATTGGCCAGGCGTCCAGGAAGACAGCTCACAAGTGCTCAAGACTGCTAGTCTTGCAAGCTTGAGAACCTAAGTTCATTTCCTAGAACCCACAGAAAACAGTGGATATGATGGTGTGAGCGTGCAACGTCAGTGCTAGGAAGGAGTTAAGTGAACCTTGGGGCTCACTGGCTAGCCAGCCTAGCCCATTTGCTGAGAGAGGCCCCTGATAGAGAAGTTGTCTTACCATCTGCCTTGAACTTCTCTGAGGAGTCTATTGTGTTTATGTTCAGGGTTCTCTTTCATGTTCTGTGTCGAACTCTCTTTGTTTCTCTGGGGTTTTTTAAAATTATGACTTATATTTGTCATATGTTTCTTTATTTCCTTAAGTTCTTCTGTTTTAAAATATATTATTTAAAATGACATATTATGTCTCCATTTATAGCAACTATATGAGATTTGACTGAGTCATTATTTGTTCTTACTCATTTTCATATAAAATAAGTTTACCTGAATATCATGGTCATGACAGATAAAGAAAGCAATTGATTTTTTTTCTGACGTGTGTGTGTTTGTGTTTGTGGGTGGTCTATGCTGCCATAATGATGTATATAATTTCTATATGACTAAAGAGATATAATCTCAAATTGTTTTGTGTCCTTAACCACTTTTACTCAGAAGCTCCAGCATATCTCATAGACCTGATGCATGATAAAAACAATGAAATCCGGAAAGTCTGTGATAACACATTAGATATTATCGCAGTAAGTATTTTCTCTATAAAAATTATACTGATTTTATTTTGTGAAAGAGAACACATTGTTAACCTAACTTGAACTGTTGATGTTAACACAACTTTGTATTCTGCTAAGCTCTAGAAAATTCTATGATCCAAGTTAGGTCTTTTGGCTTCATCTTATAACCATAGGCTCTTTAAGAGGTTTGTACATGGTTACAGTTCATAGTCTGATCTTTGTGTCATCCTAGAATTATTTCTTTTTAGAAGCATGTATGACAATGCCTATAAAATGAATCAATTTTTGTTTAAAGTATTTTTTCAATTTTTGATCATTTTTGTTCTATGCATAGACTAGTTTTATAAGGCACTTAGAAATAATTGGAAATACAAAAGTTTGTATGTTATTGTTGATACTGGGTTGTTTTGAAGTTTATATTAGTAGAGGGATGAGGTACATCTTAGGTTAGAAACTGACTGATCTTAAAGATTTCTTCAAAAAGGTTAGGATGCCACTATGGAGTTCTTTGTGGATTTGGGGAGCTTTAACAACCTCTTTAAACAAGTTGATAAACATTTTTTTGAAAACCAATTACTTGCTTTATTGAAAATAAATTAAGTTAATATTTCTGTTAGTGATTTTACTGTGAAGTAGAAAATTAACAGCAGAAATTTTCTTGTGAATTTCCCCAATTTTATTTTAGAAATTCTTATTTGATGTCAGCTGGTTTTTAGACTGGACTAAGTACTTCAGAATGATTTTGAATTATATTAATACAATGTTGTTTTAGCTTTGATCTAAGTCATAATAGAGACTATATATATATATATATATATATATATATATATATATATATATATACACACACACACACACACATTTCTACAGACATATATGTGAACTCTTTACCAATATATCATAGCTTGATAGGAATGGCTATGGAACTTATAAACATAAAATATTTTGTGTATTTAATGCTATATATACAATTTTAAAATCTATCACAATGTAATTGCATATAAAATATGTGCTATAAGAACAAGGGACATCGTAAAGTTCCACATGTGTGCATCTTTGTAAACAGTGAGGTCAGCAGTGAGCTGTCAGTGTCGTACATGACCCGAACATGCTGCAGTTGCCACTACTGAGAAAAGGAAGATATGTTTAGATTGGCACAGTAGGTGTTTTTTTTTAATGTAAATGAATGCTAACTCTAAAGATAACCTTAATGTAAAAATAACTGGCACAAAACATGAAAGTGTTACAGATAAAATATTTTATTCCGGTTAAATACACAATCTGAGTTCACCTTCTATGTATTTTACTTCATACACAACACCTTTCTAGACACTGTAGCCTCCCTACTTTTCTGCAGCCACAGATTACTGATTTTATCTTTGGGTCTATATTTTACCTTATTCCCTCACTTCCTCTAGCATCTTTTCAACATCCTCTAACATTCCCTCAACTTCCTCTAACATCCTTTATGTGAATTTTGACTTCTGCTTCCACTAATGTATTAAAATGATATTCAGAGACTGGCTTTTTGATCACCTCCTGATGCGGGGGTTCAGCCTTCAGCCTTGCCAGGCCACAGAGAAAGATGATGCAGCCAGCCTTGATGAGACCTGATAGGCTAGGGTCAGATGGAAGGGGAAGAGGTCCTCCCCTATCAGTGGACATGGGGAGGGGCATAGGGGGGAGACAAAGAGGGAGAGTGGGACTGGGAGGAGTTGAGGGAGGGGACTGCAAAGGGGGATACAAAGTGAATAAATTGTAATAAATAAATATATAAATACAATTAATATTTTTTAAAAAGATACTCATTAAAACAAAGCAAAACAAACAGGCATTCATTTCCCTAAGTCCAGTGAGCTTTTTCAGCCTTCATTTTACTTTGTTGACCCCTTCCTCCCTGAAGAGACTTATAACTTATAGTCAGCATTAACCTGTAAAGCCACAGAGAAAACAGTGTTAATTATGGTAAAGAGCTTTCTTGTCGTGAAAATTTCAAAGAAGAATGTGTAAAATTAAGCTGTGATATAGCAGCGTGGTGTGTTTATGTGGCTCCCTGCAGTGCACAGTCAGATCACTTCCAAGTTAGTCTAAAAGGACAATCCAAACAAGTCTTGAAAGACTTAGTTCACTAACTCTCTCTGTAAATCTCTGCATTGGTAATAATGCAAAATCATTATTTGATACGATGCCATATGACAGTTGTTTGTTTACACTGGAAAATGTGCATCTGAATAACTTACTTTTTAAATAGACTTATTTAATATTCACATGTGGTTGATTAATGTAATTTGGAAGCCCAACTGTGCTGTTCAACTGGCTCATTTCCAGGTTGTGTTTCTTCAAAGTGAAATCCAGCAGAGCCAATGGAGGCACCAGGGTATGGAAACATACTCTGTTCTACTGAAAACATAGTTATTTTACCTTTCTGCTATTAAACTGTAAGGTCCAACTTTAGCTAGACAGTAGAGAATTATAACAGACTCTAAAAACATGATTCTCCTTGCTTGGGTAGAAGCTCTGATCATAATTCAGTCTTTGACTTTTAGAAAATGACAATTTGATGTATACATCTATAATACAGCTGCTTTAAAAAAAAACAGATATGCTAAATAATCTCAGTGAACCATTTAAGATTTTGGCCTCTTGGTTTGCAGCAACAGCTCTGATTTTTAGAGATTGCTTTACAGACTAGAGCCAAATTAACACATGGTGTATTTTATACTTAACTTGAACAAACACTCAAACCTAGCTGAGGGGAACAAGACAGGAACCTACCACAGAGGGCCTCTGAAAGACTCTACCCAACAGGGTATAAAACCATATGCTGAGACTCATAGCCAAACTTTGAGCAGAGTGCAGAGAATCTTATGAAAGAAGGGGGAGATAGGAAGACCTGGAGGGGACAGAAGCTCCACAAGGAGAGCAACATATCCCAAAATTCTAGGCCCAGGGGTCTTTTCTGAGACTGATATTCCAACTAAGGACCATGCATGGAGATAACCTAGAATCCCTGCACAGATGTAGCCCGTGGCAGCTCAGTCTCCAAGTGGTTCCCTAGTAAGGGGAACAGGGACTATCTCTGACATGAACTCAGTGGCTGGCTATTTGATCACCTCCCCCTGAGGCAGAGAAGCCTTATGAGGCCACAGAGGAGGACAGTACAGCCACTCCTGATGAGACCTAATAGGCTAGGGTCAGATGGAAGGGGAGGAGGACCTTCCCTATCATCGGACTGAGGAATGGACATGAGAGGAGAAAAAGAAGGGAAGTTGAGATTGAAAGGTGACAAGGGAGGGGGCTACAGCTGGGATACGAAGTGAATAAATTGTAATAAATAAAAAAAAATTAAAAGAAATATGTTCAGTGATAGACTCTAACTGAGATGTGAAGAAGCCAAAGCAGGAACTGAAGCAGAAAGAAAAAAAAACATATATATTAAAAACATAAAATAAAACATGGAGTTGGGGGCTAGAGAAATTGAAGTAGATTTGAAAGTAGTTAAGGGGAGGAGATTGGGGATGATTATGATCAAAATATTTTGTATGAAATTATCAAGAAAGTTAATAAAAATCTGTTTTAAAGTAAAAAAAAAAAAAAAAACCTAGCTGAGGAATTTGTACGTAAATTATTTGGACCAACCTTTTCCTTTTTTCGGAGAGCTAAATATCTGTGTTGTTTTTTTCATTTTGATTTTAAGTGACATGAGAAGATAGCCTGCTTATTATTATTATTATTATTATTTTTTATTATTATTAATTATTGGAATTAATTATTGGAATTATTATTCCAAATATGTATTTTAGACAAATATATTACTGCTCATAGTTAATATCTAAAGCCCCATAGACTGGATTAATTTGGAATTTTTAAAAATTTTTCATGCTATGACAATTTACAACATAGGACAATTAACTGAAAAGCTTTAAAGTTAAAGTACCTTTAAATAGTAAAAAAGAAATTGCCTTTTCTCCTGGGAAAATACCTTGTTAATGAAATGATCCATGTTTTGATTTTATAATAACTTATTTTAATTTAAACTCAATTTTTAGCTGGGCATGGTGGCAGCTGCCTTTATTCCCAGCACTTAGGAAGGCAGAGGCAGGCAGATTCCAAGGCCAGCATGTTCTACAAAGTGAGTCTGGGACAGCCAAGGCTACATAGAGAAACCCTGTCTTGAAAGAAAGAGAGACAGAGACAGAGAGAGAGAGAGAGAGAAGAGAAGAGAGGAAGGAAGGAAGGAAGGAAGGAAGAAAGGAAGGAAGGAAGGAAGGAAGGAAGGAAGGAAGGAAGGAAGGAAGGAAGGAAGGAAGGAAGGAAGGAAGGAGAAAGAGAAAGAAAGAAGGAAAGAAAGAAGAAAGAAAAAGAAAGGAAAAAAAGAAAAAAAGAAAGAAGAACAAGAAAGAATGAAAAGAAAAAAAGAGAGAAACTCAATTTTTAACCTCAGACCAAAATTATACTCCTAGTTTTCTGGGTATCATCATTTGGAAGAAATTTGAGGAGCAAAGTATCTTTTTAAAATACTTATTATTTGAAAATTTTATGCATTGTGTTTTGATCATATTCACATTTGACCCACTTTTCTATCTCCATCCAGATTCACCTCCCTATTTCATACCAACCCAACTTTGTATCCCCATTCACTTTTTTTTAACCCATCATTCTCATTAGTGTTGCCTGGTGGTGCACATCTTTAATGCCAGCACTCGGGAGGCAGAGGTCGGGGTATCTCTGTGAGTTTGAGGCCAGCCTTATCTACAAAGTGAGTTCCAGGACAGCCAGGGCTACACAGAGAAACCCTGAGTTGAAAAAACAAAACAAAACAAAAATAAAAAATAAACCGTATGAGTGGCTATAGACACTTACTCTATTAAGTAGACAGAATTCCAACACACTGAGCAGCAGAGGTTGACTTCACAGGCAGCAGGGGGTAAGCAGAAACAAAGGAAACACAGCTGGTCATTTCTGTTCCTTTCCTTGTAATTTATGGACACGGTGGGTAGGAAGGAGAT